TAAAAATAAAAATGAAAATGAAACATGCTTATTAAGTAAATAAAAATGAATTCCAATTAGTAGTAGGTATATGAATAAAACAATCGGATTTATTGAATTAAGTGGTAAAAGCCAGTTGGCTTTATTAGGCTATACTAGAATCCAAATGGTTTATCATCTTCTAAAATTAATTTAAGGTTTACTTTAATATAATAAGCTAGTTACAACTGCATAATAAATTAATTAAATCCACTTGACACGTGATTTCTTCATCTGTCTTTATTTATGACAAAATATACATATTAAATGTTCTAAATTTCTAAATCAAATTGATTAGTGCCTAGTTAGTCATGCAGGAGTCCCCAAAAAAAATTAAGTATATTTTACAATATCTATATAATAAGACAGAACGGTTTTTGAAAATATGTTAGAGACAATTGTCCTACTAAGACATTTCAATGACTATGATTCATTTCTCTATTTAAATAGATGGTTGAGATGACCCCCTTAAATATATATCAATCCCCTTCCAGCACCACTGTTACATATCTGTTCCGTTTGGGAAGTTCAACCTAATGAAGTAATGATGGTTGGGGATAACCTTAAAGATGATGTGAGTTCTGCTCTATTTCTCTCTCCATCATTTGCACCATATTTGTTAAGAACATTTCTGATTCATTTTGAGGTGCTGTTTTTGTATATATATTATTTTTTAATTTCACATTCTTTTATCAAATTTGTTTGAATCAAAACATGCTTTTGTGTAAATTAAAGCTCCTTTACTTGGTCTTCGCAGGTTGCTTGTGGGAAACGAGCGGGAGCATTTACATGCTTGCTTGACGAAACAGGGAGGTATGATTCTCCCGAATACACAGATGTGGAATTTCAGCCAGATTACAACGTGTCTTATCTTGCCCATGTTCATTCACTACTGGAAGCAAATTTTGACCTGACACCATGATCCACAATTTCCTTGACAATAAAAATTTGCATTGTTAAATTGAGTAGCATTGAGATTCTCATACCATTTATTATTTGGTGGATACACCTATTTTTGATCCTGTGAAGAATTCATAGGAGAAGCTTTGTCAAGTACGGAGATAGGAAATTACCAAGGAAATATTGTGTATTTGAAAGACAGAGATCTTTCTTTAGTTTAGCATCTTATGGTAGTGTTGATATGCTGTAGAGTCATCGAATATATAGGTTTCCTTGCCAAAGCACTCTTGGATAGATTTCCTGCACATCTTTGTTTGTTGTTATCATTGTATTATGAGGCCAGCTGTTAGTGCTTTGTTTGTGGGATGTAAGATTGTTGTTGTATATCTATATGTAATACTTTTGACCCATTTTATAATGCGATTTCTTTCTCCCTTTGGTGCAATGCAATGCATATTTTAAAATTACAATGAAGTTTATATGTTTGTTTTTGACGAAATGATGAAATGATGTGGCTACGATTATTTTGATTCTTTTTATGTCTGATTTATGATTTATACGTAGGGATTTACAAAATGAACAATTTAGATCACTTGAGTGAGACTTGAGGTGAGGCTTATAGCAAGACTGCATGCCTGATCCACTTTTATAGACTACAGGCAATCCTGATGATAATTGACCTTAATTTTGATGATGACAGTTTGAATTAAAGAAGATAATAAGTCAATTTTCTTTAATCTCAAATATTCTTATATTTCAAGTCACTCCGTCCGTTGCACCACCACAGAACTTAGGCACAATGCAGTGTCCTGATTACATAAAATATTCAAAATCTATAAAATTAGTGTCTTCCTTCATCGCTAGAAAGAGTTCATGCAGCATTGCATAAATCCTCTCAGAACAAGGGTGGATTTTATCAGCAACATAACAGCTGTGAGTTTCGCTATTAATATATCTCTGCAAATGTGTGTGTATATGTATGAGGAATTTGGGGATCCTAAAGAAGAGAAAGAAGAAGAAAAATGAAAATCATGTGTCTCTGGAAATGTGTGTATATATATATATGTGTATATATCAGTCGATCTATGTATTGGAGAGAAGTGAATTACAGAGTTGGGAAGAGAAAAGCAGACAAGATCTTGATCACAGTTGACCGTTTCAAATGAGATAAAAAAATTACTAACAAATGAATGAAAACTCGTTTTAGGAATAACAACTCATATGAGAAAAATAAATATTAAAGAGCTGTTTCAGATTTGCTTATTCAGTGTATTTTTTAATTTTTTTTATAAAAAAATGTGTAGAAAAATAGAAAAGGGATGAGACATAAATAAGTATACTCATCAAGTAAGTGGAATTATTTAGATTATTCCTGAACATGAGGGTTTTTGAATCTTCAATATATTATTTAGTATACTAAGACATTTGAATAGCTCAGATCTGTTCAAATTACAAAACGGCTGTGATGTATGCTATGTGTACATTTTTCACTTTCCCGTTTTTTTCTCTTACTTTTTCTTTTTCTCTTTCTCACCCACCTTTCCCATTATCTCATAAATAATCCACGAATGATCCCATGATTCCGCATTCTTCATTTTCTTTTTTTTATTTTATTTCCCCCTTTCCTTTTTTTCCTCCATGTTTATTTATTTATTTATTTATTTTATTTTAATTTACACCGTGCCTGCAGGTACGGGCATACACTAGTAAGAATATAAGAGAATATAAGAAAAATTTTAAAATATAAGAATATAAGCAAACATAAGAATATAAAATATAAGAATATAATATTTTAAAATATATCTGTCATAAAATTTTAAAATATAAGAATATAAGAAAATATAAGAATATAAGAATATAATATTTTAAAATATTTTATTATATTTTTCAGTAAAAAAAATATTAGGACAAATATTTAAGATAATTTAATATTTTTAATTTATAATTTTATTACTTATATTTTTATTTAAATATAATTTTAATATATTTGTTATGTCACGGTTCGATTTGCTCACCGGTCCGATTTTTAAAACATTGGTTTGAATCTGTATAGAAACTTTGTAACATTTACTTATATTTTCTTTTAAGATAATAAATTAATATTTTAAATTTTATTTTTGTATCACATGAACCATTGGGCAACATCTAAAAAAACACCTATTTTAAGATAATTCATTTTTTCGAGCCGAATCTAAGAAATATATACGTTTTAAAAATTCAAAATAAGCAACAAATATTTACTATTTTTTTGTTAATTTTTATCTTTAGAAAAAAATTATTATTTTTCGATTCGTTTTGTCGAATGAAAACGAAAAATAAAAAAAAAAATGTCACGTTTTTACCTTTGGCGACCAAAATTTTGGTAGCCAAAAGTCTATTTTTGGAAATAATTAGTTTCGGCGATTAATTGGATTTTGGTCGCCAAATAATGCAGTTTCACCGACTATGTTTTTGGTAGCCAAACGTGCCACGAAATTGTGGAGGGAATATTACTTTTTCATAATATATATTAGCGACGAAAATAATTTTTGGTCGGTAATAAATATTTTTTTCTTCTATTTTCATTGCAAAAGTATCCCAGTTCACTGCTCTGTCGGTTTCCCGCCTCTCGCACTCCCGCCTCTATCACTGCTCTGTCTCCATCGCAAGAGTTGCTGTATCATCCCTCGAACTCCCTCCCAGGTATCTCCCTCTCTCTCTCTGTATCTCCCTCTCCATTTCTTAAACATCTCACAAGGCCTCTCGGTTTCCCTCTCTCTCTCTCTCTCTCTCTCTGTTTACACACACACACACACACATACATGCATATATATATACACACACACACACACGAATCATATATTCACAACCTTGATTCCATATATACTTGATTATATACACAAATCATATGTACACTCACGCCTCTGCCCTCTTTTCTACAGGAATAGTCTCCATCGCCCGAACTCTCCCGAACTGGATCATCCCCCGAACTCCCTCCCAGGTATGTTTGAATTTCGCATCTGTCTCTCCCTCTCTCTGTATGTCCCTCTCGATTTCCCTCTGTTTCTATCTATCTCTGTTTACATACACACACATACATACATACATATATATATATATATATATATAAATGTCAAAACACACAGAATATGAAGTACGAAATGCCCTCAATTAGGGCATTGTTATTGAAATGTGATTCAAATTAAAAATTAGGGCAATGCTTGGGGCTTGGGGGGTGGAATCAAGCCCCATTTGCTATCATTAAACTAAGGCAAAAGTTCTTGTAGTAGTAGAAACATATAAAAGAGGAATTTGATGGTGTTTGATAAACTCTTATTAAGTAGAGCACGTGCGTGTCTCATGCTCTCTATTGGGATCATATAACAGGTCTGCGTAGCCTCGGATGAGAGATTCATCGCAATAGTTTGTACTTAATTACCGGGCCATTCAACACTAAGCCCTGGAGATGCTGGTGCCTTGCACTCAGGTGGTCTTTAATGTTGTATATGTAAATGATAATTAGCGAGTTATGAGTACAACTAATCTTCACTATAATAATATGGATATTGAGAATATAGCACCCTAATAAGAATAACCTTAATACCAACTATTAGAGCGAGTCATAGATATTTTGTGGCGTGAGGAGAGAGAGGCTAATTCTTCATATACTCGCGATAATCTTCGATCTCTAAACAAGGGCAGGGATTAGATATAGTCCTTGATAGACCTTCTTCGGCGAGTGTTTGTGTTCTGATCTCACTTCCAACTCAACATTCAAATGTTGGAGTGAGTGAGTAGCGTGGTATCCAACTATCTCATCCGTGTGGTGATTCCCTATGCATGGATGTCCTTCTATAAACTCCGAGACTTCTCTACACGACTAAGCCAGACTCTTTAATAGTGGAACAACTATAAGAGTCTGATATTTGAGAGATGTATCAATATCTTAGATTCAGCGAGTGGCGAATGGAATTCAATAACTTCAAAAACCGGCACGATTAATTGCTTGAGATTAATGGATTTTTTTTCAATGTACTTGTAGTTAGCTAACATTCATCCTTTGTCCTTGACCTTAGGTTTTTTGTTTTTGGGTTTTAAATCAATGGGTTGCATTTCTTAGTTTCCCTCTGGTGCCTTTTGAGACTGGGTGCAATTATTGATCTTTTTGCTTATGAGG